AAATATCTAAAGCTTCTTAATAAGCCGTTAAGCCCATTATTAAAGAAAGTAGTGGGAAAAGGAAGCCTGGATGTTTTTTCAAGTATCAGAGGAGTGAAAAATCTGGTCCCTGGAGAGGTAGATTAAGAAAAAGTGGGAGAGAATCAGTGGAGAAGTAGGAAAGTAGTGGATTTCTTTTAGTGGTAGAAATTAAAACTACTCAAATGTAGTGCACTGGGAAGATACAGGTGGCTGCATTAAGACAGGGCAGCACCCTGAGTGCCTGTGGCAAAGTTCCCTGTGGCCGAGTGGGCACAACTGAATGGTGGTCTAGGACAGTCTAATGAGAGATGGTCCTGTGGCAAAACTCATGGACTAAAAGAGACTGAGCCTTGAGCATGTCTTCAGTAATGATCACAACAGACAGAAGGCCAGAGGTCTCTCCCCTGTTTATCCCAGAGCTGAATAAGCTCCGGAATCTTGATAAAACCCGAAGAAAGAGAAGGGAGCCGTGAAGAATGACTGATATTGAGCTTATCACTCACCTTGGCATAAGATTTAATTTGACAAAGAAAATTAAAAACAGTATCACATTCCTGGTACTGCTGTGGTACTGGGAAAGCCTGGAGGAGTCAGTTTCCTCAAAGCAAACTGGATAAATCCCCATGTTAGTGCTTAAAGACAGTCAGCCTTCTAACACAAGTCCTCTTATTGTTGCCACACCAGGTTTGTTTTTGCCCGTCACCCGGAAAGCCAAACACCGAGACAACAAGATTGCAGCAGAGAGAGAGTTTAATCACAAGGCAGCCATGTGAGGAAGCGAGAGCATGAATCTCAAATCCACTTCATTGAAAATAGGGACTCAGGGATATTTATGGGATGGGGGGCAAGGTGGTCTGAAATGTGGAGATAGGTGAGTGGAGGTGAGGAGAGGTGAGGTAATTGATGATCCACAGAAGCATGGTAAGACTCCATGCCTCTTCATAGGACACATGCTCACAAAATGGCGGTGTTAACACGATCTGGAGGTGGAGTTTTTAGCCACTTGACGTCAAAAGGTTGCCTATTGGACATCTGCATGGACAATGGGTTGATGGGTTCGTGGTCTTAACCGGCCTGGAGTGGACAAAGGTGTTCTAATTCCTGAAGAACAGCTCAAATGCTCACTACTATAGCAACCCAGGCTCCAGGGAGATCTTATCTATAGGAACCTAGCGGGAGTCAGATAGCATATTGCCTAAACAGTAAACAATGGGTGTGTTAAACAGCTAAAAGATATAATCAGTAATTGCAAAAAGGAAAAAATACTTTAGTTCCTAGCTACTTAATCATCAATGGCTAACTATTTGCCAGTTTCATTATCAGAGTCCCCAAAGATTTTTACATTATATCACACATAACATGTGTGAAAGTTAATTTGGTTGACAACTATTTTAGTTTAAATTTCTCACAAAACAAAGTCTGCAACAAGGACTTGGGTGTAGCAGGTAATATCAGGAAGCAGGAGTGAGGGAATAAAGAGAATGAGACAGTGAGAAATTGCCGATAAAGGATGTGTTGTTAAGCTAGTAACTGTGTGAACAATTGGAGTTCAATCCCCCTTAGCACCCCCTAAAGAACCACACAGGGGCCTGCCCTGTGGCCGAGCAGTTAAGTTCGTGCGCTCCGCTTCGGCAGCCCAGGGTTCGGATCCTGGGCGCGGACATGGCACCACTCATTAGGCCATGTTGAGGTGGCGTCCCACATGCCACAACTAGAAAGAGCCACAACTAAAATATACAACTATATACTGGGGGGATTTGGAGAGAAAAAAGCAGGAAAAAAAAAAAAAAAAGAAGAACCACACAAAATGGGCCTCCGAATCGTCCCTCTGAAGGATGGGAGGCTAGAGCATCTTTTCACTGATTCCCATCCCTCATTGAGGCTTGCTCCCAGGAATGTTTCTGGACTACCCTATGGATGGATGATAAATCTTCCTTGGCTTCAGGAAAACCTCTGAGGCTGGACACCAAGCCACAGGGAGAGCCAGACGTGGGAGAACTTGTGCATGGGACTGTCCACCATAACTGCTACCAAAACCCAAGCTGGGCTGAGGGGCTGTGGCTTTGGGCACAAAGAGCACATGCTACATAAACCTCTACCAGGAGAGTGAATGGAAGATGTTTCATCTTTTAGAGAAGAGTCTTTCTCTCCTCCAACCCCCATCCCGGGTTGTTGGGGAGGAGGGAGGGTATCATGCGACCTGCTACCTTTGCACATGTGTTTCAACCTCAGATGACTTCCCTGTTTTCAGCAGCAGTTCTCCTTCCTGCTCTCAGTTGTCTCTGCTGACTCAGACTCTAAGGACCGTCCGAGTTTGCCAGGCCCATCTCCCTCCTGGCTATATAGCAGCCCCCTTAGTTTAGGCTGCAGATTCCTTTGTTATCTCATCTAGTAACACATCCTTGTTTATCTTCCATCTTCTAGAATTTTGTAAAAAATTTTTCATCTTCTGATGGAGAAATGTCTATCCTTTGCCCATATTTTAGTTGAGTTATTTGTCTTTCTATGATTGAGTTGAAAGTGTTCTGTGTATATTCTGGATTCTAGTCTGTTATCCAACATATGATTTTCAAATATTTTCTTTCATTATGTGCATTGTCTTTCATTTTCTCAGCGGTGTCCTTTGAAGCACAAACATTTTTAATTGTGATGAAGTCTGATTAATCTATTTTTTCCTTGCCTGCTTCTGCTTTTGGTCTCATATTTAAGAAACAATAACTTAATCCAAGGTCATGATTTACACCTATATTTTCTTCTTAGACTTTTATAATTTTAATGTTTAGATTTAGGTATTTGATTCATTTTTAGTTGATTTTCAAATGGTGTCAGATAAGGGTCCAAATCCACTCTTTTGCATATGGATATCCAGTTGTCCCAGCACCATTTGTTGAAAAAGTATTCTTTTCCAATTGAATTGTCTTGGCACCTTTGATGCAAATCAACTGAGCATAAAATGTGAGGGGTTATTTCTGGATCTTAATTCTATTCCATTGATCTATCCTCATGCCACTACCACGCTGTCTTGATTAGTATAGCTTTGTAGTAAGTTTTGAAATTGGGGAACTTGAGTCCTCCAAATTTATTCTTCTTTTTCAAGACTGTTTTAGATTGTTTGGCTAGCCTGTGTCCCTTGAATTTCCATATGAATTTTAGGATCAGTTTGTCAATTTCTGCAAATTAGTCAGCTGTGATGAAAGATTGGCACTAACTTTTCTTAATAATAGATTACCTGTAAGATACCTCATAACTGATCATAACACAGCATTTCAACATGAATATTGAGAATTATACACACATTTATTGTTATTGTTCACTTGCATTATGAAATTCTATGAAGTTGCTGTTTAGAGAGCAGTAGTTGAAAATCATAGCAGAAACTTTTAACTTTGTGAAAGTCTATTTTTTTCATATTATCCTCATGACAAATAATATTATACATATAAGAGTAATACAACATAAGATTCTTTTTATCCTTTTCAGATGCACAAGTGATATTTTTGCTGTAGAGGATAAATGTTATTAAGATGGCAGACAGATTCTTCTTTTTTTGCTTAATAACAGAGTGCTGAACAAGTATGTTCAATAAAAATATTCTCTAAAATAACTTCCTTACATTTCTCAATGACTTTGGTGTGTTTTTTTTTTTAAAGACTTTATCTTTTTCCTTTTTCTTCCCAAAGCCCCCCATTAGATAGCTGTATATTCTTTGTTGTGGGTCCTTCTCGTTGTGGCATGTGAGATGCTGCCTCAGTGTGGTTTGATGAGCAGTGCCATGTCCTCGCCCAGGATTCGAACCAATGAAATACTGGGGCGCCTGCAGCAGAGCATGCGAACTTAACCACTCGGCCACGGGGCCAGCCCTGGACTTTGGTGTTAATCTTGAAGTTCAATTGAAAAATTCGCACATTAGTATGAAATTTCTTTTCCAAAAGAGACTTATCTGTGAATCAAATCAAATCAACTTTAATGCTCTTAAAGCAGAAAGGATACACAGGGTAGCTTCTGTGGGTTCAGCCCATCTCTTCATTGTGTAGCTCCTTAAGTGAGCTATATAATCACTGTATCCGACCCAGATAAAGTGTTTCTTTAGTTGTTAAGATGTGGCTTCCTTACCTCACCACTCATACTGTTCTCACCACGGCTTCCTGTGTTGCCACATCCAATGGTCCGTTTTCCTTTGTCTCATGTAACTTCTACACTGCGTTAGACACAACTGCCTGCTCTCTGCTTTGTGAACTTTGTCCTGTGAGCTCTGTCCAGGTATTATACCATGCTGGATCTCCTACTTTTGAACACCTCGTCTCCGTTTCTCCACTACTCTCCTCTTTCTTCCCACCGCACCCCAGGGCCATACCCTATGCTACCCTAGTTTTTGCTCACTGGTTTCACAACCATTCCTATCCCGTTATCTTCTCATCTAGGCTCATGCTTCCTCCTGCATAGAGAGTACATTTATTTGTATATCACATCACCTCCAGTACAGTATGTCTGGGTATGGACTCGCTTAGCTCTCTAGGTTAACTTCCCTTCAACTCCATTTCTTAGTGGTAACAACTATTTCCCATGGTCATTAGATTTCAGTCTCCCACCCCTTCATTTTTTACATCTAATCACTTGCCATAAAGTCCTGTAGGTATTTTGTTGGGTTTTTTTTTTGGTGAGGAAGATTCACTCTGAGCCAACGTCTGTTGCCAATCTTCCTCTTTTTTTTTTCCTTGAGGAAGATTAGCCCTATTAGCTCTATTTTGTATGCAAGTTGCTGCCACAGCATGGCTTGACGAGTGGTATAGGTCTGGGCCTGAGATCAGAACCCATGAACCCAGACCGCCGAAGTGGAGCATGCTGGACTTAACCACTACGTCATGGGGCCACCCCCGACAGGTACCTTTTGAAAAAATTCTCAAATTAATCTATTCATCTCCATTCCACTTTGACCACTTGTTCAACTGCTTATAAAACTTCTGGGAGGGCGGCCCCCAGCCTGCGCCCCGCGCCGTGGTGGCCCTGGAGCCAGAGCCCAAACTGGCTGCCTGTGTACACCTGGCCAGCACCGATGCCAAGCTGAGCGCAAAGCTGAGCCGACGGCTGGACATCAACAAGGGCGCGGCATGGCCCCGCCACTGCAAGGTCTTCAACCCCGACACCGAGTTCCCAGAGTTCAGCCACCGCCTCATCAAGGACCTGGAGAACATGTTCAAACTGTACGATGCTGGACGGGACAGCTTCATCGACCTGATGGAACTGAAGCTGATGATGGAGAAGCTGGAGGCTCCCCAGACCCACCTGGGCCTGAAGAGCATGATCAAGGAGGTGGACGAGGACTTTGATGGCAAACTCAGCTTCCGTGAGTTCTTGCTCATATTCCACAAGGCCGCAGCAGGGGAGCTCCAGGAGGATAGCGGGCTGATGGCGCTGGCGAAGCTCTCTGAAATCAATGTTGCCCTGGAGGGCGTCAAAGGTGCCAAGGAAGTCTTTGAAGCCAAGGTCCAAGCCTTGTCCTCTGCCAGTAAGTTTGAAGCTGAGCTAAAAGCCAAACAAGATGAGAGGAAGCAGGAGGAAGAGAAGAGGAGGCTCCGCCAGGCGGCCTTCTGAGAACTCAAGGCCGCTTTCAGTGCATAGTCAGGCAACCTTGACCTCCGTCCACAGCTGTGCCCCACGGATGCCCCAGCTGCGAGAGCTTTCCAGGCATCCTCACTCCTGCTGACCCGTCACCCTAACCAGCCTCCGCACCCACTGCCCAATGCAAACTCCTTAGCCTCATAGGGGTGACAGGAGATGGCTCTCATCCCAGAGTGGGAGCCCCTCCCTGACGGTCCTAGGATGAGCCAACAGCCCCCTCGCCTCTCTCTCCTGCCCACCTGCCTCTGTCCTTCTCTGTAGCCAGAACGTGCCTCTACTTGGCACCCTCTACTTGTGCCTTGGCCCTTTACCATTCCACGTTGAAGAGTGGCCTGCTGGGTTAATTTGTACAGATACTTCCTTCTTTGGTGGTCCTCAGAGAAGATAGTCCCTGGAGGGCTATGATGCTAAATGCTGCCTGTGTCCTTGGGTAATTATTCTCTGCACCTCTCTCTGGCACATCCGCCTCCTCTTTGTTTCTCATTCAGTTTCCTTATTCTCATGCTTAGCCTGATTCTGTCAATTGCTTTTGCATCTTCTTCTGTCCTTTGATGATGGTGAGGTTTAAGGGGAGCCAGGCTGGACCACTGCCCTCTCTCCAACAGGGGGCGTGGCATGCCACCGAGATGACACACAATAGAGAAAAGATGGGAAGTTCTGTTTCTTCCCATCACCTTTCTCCTGTCCTCTTAGCAACCCCCATATCCTCTACCCTCTTCATCCCCCTCCATTCATATCTTCCCTTTTCAGCCTTTTTTTCTACTCTTAAACACTGTGCTACTTAACTGTAAGAATGAAAGAATACTTAGAAGTAATATTAATGAATGGAAGAATTTCTGTTCTACATGATTCTATGCAAATTATATTACAGTAGATCCCTGACACTCCCAAGGGACAAATCCAGAGCCTTTCAGAATCCCCCGAGTCATGACCACCCTCATCATCTAGCCAGTTTCCAACGTCTGCTCCCAGGCGTTGGGGTGAAGGTGTTCCCACTCCCAGCGCAAATTTTTGTATGTTGTGAGTTCCTGGGATTGCTCACGAATGCAGGGGTTGGTTGTATTTTGAAAAGTAATTCCTAACATCATATTTATTACTTCTCTTTTGTAACTGCTGTCTTTACAATAAAGAAAATATCTGCATTTCTACCTTAAAAAACAAAACAAAACAAAACAAAACAAAAACTTCTTGTTCATGAGGTCAAGGACGACCTAGTGAGAGCTTTAATTTGCAAGGCATGCACCAACCTACAAAGCAAGTTAGGCCCTAAAAGCTGGGCCAAATAAAATGAGCTGTTGATCGAGGTTGAAGGCTTTTCAGAAGGTGTCAGAAGAACTGATATAACCATTACCTCAGGATTGTATTTCTACAGCTCTCCACCACATCTCCCGGATACTGTACACTATTAACATGTTTTGTTCACACCCACCTCTACACTTTTCAGTCTTTGGTTAGTCTGGGTTGGTGGCACTAGTTTAGTATTATCTTATTTAAAGCTTGCTGATTTACGTCATAAAGGCTTTAGTACCATTGTCAAAGCAAGAATGTAGTCTAGCATATCCCCACGTTGGTTTCCATGAAAACCAGAAGGTGAGCAGACACAAGGAGGTATCATCTTTAGCTCAAGAAGTTGTTCACTAAATCAACAGGACGGTGTCAGGAACTAGAGTTGGAGTAGAGCTTGCCAGAACCAGGGGAGACACAAACCAACAGAAAAATTCTGGGCAGGAGTTTTTCTAAGCTTCCTAGCTTTCTGCCACCTGTAAAGCAAAAGCAACTCAAACTTTCACACTGAGCTTCATCTGAGATCTTCTCGTATTTAACTTCTTACAAGGCTCAGTATCTGCGGCAGAAGAGTAGCTAACACCTAGGCAGCACTTTCCATGGGCTAGTGTATTAACCATATTTTTAATATTTTATGATGTTTTGACATCTTGAGGGGCCTAACTGGCTGAGGAGAGACTGCCCCTCTCAGAGCTATCTAATTCCCAACTTGCCTGAAAGCATGCTTTTCATACACAAACTAACCAATCTCAAGTCCATACCCCCAACCACCTCCTTTATGAAACTTTCCCACACCAAGCCAATATTTCCCCTGCCATAAATCACCCAGGGCCAGGTACCAGACAACTAGAGACCACCCCTATAGCCCAGAGCCCACCAGAATTATTCAAACTAGCAAATCTCTAAGCAGTTCCCCTGCCCTGCCTTGCCTTTCCCATGGAAAACATAAAAAGCTCTGGGTCAGGTTTCCCCCCTCACTCTTTTCTGCCTCCTGATCAACAATGGTGCTTCCCCTGTGGCCCCGCGTTATCTGGTGTGCCTCCTCCTCTCAGAAAATGTAAGTCATAAAGACTTCTTTCAATGGCATTAGCCTCTCCATGTCATCATTCAGTCACCTCCAGAAATTAAAATCCCATGAGTACAACTCAAATAGCTAGGAACCCTTCTAGTACTTTGTATAGATAAACTTGTTTAATCTTCATAACAACTCTATGATGTATATCTTATATTATCCCCATTCCAATAAGGAGGACATTGAGGTACAGAGAAGGTAAGTAACTTGCTCAAAATCCTATGAGTTAGTAGGGGAGCTGATTTGCATCTAGGCAGTCTGGTGTTAGTCTGTGATTTCACAACTACACTGTATTGCCTCTTGTGGAATTTGGAGTGTTCACGTGTTTTGGAATGAAAGCTATGGGCTCTCTATTTGTTTCCAGTCTGTATGTTTAAGTGTGTATATGGATGTATATTATGTCTATGTGATGCTTTTCTAGCTCCAGAGGGCATTGCCAAAATTATTTTCTAAAAGAGTTCTATTTAATTGGCTTAAAGAAAAATAAATTTTAACATCAATAATATATTTATGTAAAACTGAAACAATTTCCTTTTATCTGATAAAAGCACAAAGTTTTCTTGGACTATTGGTCTATTCTTCTTTTTTGAGGAAGATTAGCCCTGAACTAACATCTGCTGCCAATCCTCCTCTTTTTGCTGAGGAAGACTGGCCCTGAGCTAACATCCGTGCCCATCTTTCCCTACTTTATATGTGGGGTGCCTGCCACAGCATGGCTTGACAAGCGGTGTATAGGTCTGCACCCAGGATCCAAACTGGCAAACCCTGGGCTGCCGAAGTGGAACATGCAAACTTAACCACTGTACCACCAGGCTGGCCCTTGGTCTATTCTTGATGGGAATGTGAGGAATTTTTCTTTACCTTTTGAGTAACCTGCCTAGAAAACAAAGATTCTGTGTTTTATCAAAATAATTTCCTGTGCTCCATGTTGTCTTTATCAAGTCTTTGATTATTTAATAAACTGAATCTTCTCTACTAAAAGAGCTAAGTTTTTTGCAACTATGTAACTTTTCTGTATTTACCTTTGAAGTGTTTGTCACTTTGGTTAAATTAATAACTAACTATTGTTTCACAGTGACCTATAATCCTATTTAACCAAGTGTTTTAAATCTTTTGGTATTTTTAACAAGCTTCTCCCAAATCAAATTCTAAATGAAGTCTTGTTGACCTCAAACTAACTTTGGGATTTTCTAGATGGTCCTCGGAACATCTCAAAAGATATGTCCTCTCTCCTTATGAAAGGAAGATATTAAACTAATTAAGCTTATTTGGTATGTTAAATTGCATGGAAAGCATTTTCAAACAAGAAGTGATGCTAAACTTTCCTTATGGTATATTTGTATAAAATTTCTAAAAATCTGATATGTCCTGGTATAACGTATCAGTCATAAATTTAAAATGTATGTCACAGAAATAACCAAATTTTCTTGTCAGTTTTATTATAATGAACTCTCCTCAAATATTTTTTAAAAAGATATTTGTTGCTGCTTTTCTTGGTGAGGAAGATTGGCCATGAGCTAACATCTGTTGCCAATCGTCTTCCTTTTTTTTCCTCCCCAAAGCCCCAGTACACAGTGGTGTAACCTAGTTGTAAGTCATTCTAGTTCTTCTATGTGGGATGCTGCCACAGCATCACTTGATGAGCTGTGTGTAGGTCCATGCCCAGGATCTGAATTGGCAAACCCCAGGCCGCTGAAGCAGAACATGCAAACTTAACCACTTGACCATGGGGCTGGCCCCAAAAGGGCAGCAATTTTTAAAGTATGGTGTGAAGACTCCCTGAGGGGGTCCCTGAGGCCCTTTCAGGAGGTCCACAAAATGCTCCATTTCCCAACTACAGATGGTCACTGAATTATGATGGTTCAACTTATGATTTTTTGACTTTACCATGGTGCAAAAGTGATATGCATTCAGTAGAAACTGTACGTCAAATTTTAAATTTTGATCTTTTCCCAGGTTGGTGATATGCAGTACAACCCTTCCTCTCTGATGGACAGTGGCAGTGAGCTGCATCTCCCCGTCAGCAGTGTGATCATTAGTATAAACAACGGATACACTTACAAGCATTCTGTACCTGTACAACCATTCTGTTTTTCACTTTCAGTATAGTATTAAATAAATTACATGAAAGACATTCAACATTTTTATAGAATAGGCTTTGTGTTCGATGATTTTGCCCAACTATAGGCTAATGTAAGTGTTCTAAGCATGTTTAAGCTAGGCTAGGCTAAGCTGTGATGTTCAGTAGCTTAGATGTATTAAATGCGCTTTTGACTTAAGATATTTTCAACTTACGATGTGTTTATCCAGATGAACCCCATTGTAAGCTGAGGAAGATCTGTATATATCTGTGTGAGACCAGTTCTTCTTCAAATACTTCAACGAAAACCCTATATCACAATCAACTGAGTGCAAAAGCAGATGAGAAACCAGCTGTTTTTCTGCAAGCCAAGTATAAAAGAGATTTGTAAAAATGTAAAACAATACCACTCATCTCATTATTTTGTATTGGAAAATATAGCTATTCTTCATAAAAATATGTTATATCTGCTAACATGTAATGTGATTATTATTGTTATTTTTTTTTAAGATTTTATTTTTTTCCTTTTTCTCCCCA